AATTGAAGTTACACAAGGGCACAAGGTTTGTGTAAGAATATATTTAATCTAAATAAAAATCTACGTATATCATTTAAAAAGATAAAAGTTGTAATGCATTTCAGCTGAATGCACATGAAACCTGGATTTATTAGAAAAACATGAAAGCATTTACTTTGTTGTTCTGTCAGAGTTAAATTATATGCTACAGAGCAGACTTCAAATTGCTGTTACATAAGAAGAAAAACTACCCTGCAGCCAACAATTTCAGTATGATGTGCAGCCTTTGGACGCCAATAGGACTGTGGAAGGGAAAGACATCTTCCTATTTTTATAGAAATAGTTTCAATTTTTTCCTATACCACTTATACAAACCCTTCCCTCAATGATGTAGTAGATAATTATGATGGTTATCACACTTACCTAACCATTTAAAGATGTAAATAGAGATATTTTCTTTCATGCAGTTAACTTTTAACTTAAACTGCAGACATCGTGGCACGTTAGGGAAGAGATCTGCATCCTGTAGCCTCAAAGCATTTTTGTGTATTTGGTTGAAAATGAGAGGAAAAACTAAACCATATTTATGATGCAAATAGGAAATGCACTTTCCTATTGTAGTTTTATGTTGCAAGGCATGCAATTTTAGGCTGCAAAAATAAGTCAAAAAAGGTGTCATGTATGTTGCAGTGTCAGCTTTTTGAAAAATGTTGTTATACAAACAAACCATCTTGACTGACCGCTGTGGCTGGTGGAGGACGGATTCCCTGGTTTCTCTCTGGATTCCCAGAGGGAAACCAGCTTGCTTCAGTGCTCTTAGCACTAAAAGTAGCATGCGATCATCAAGGCTGGTGTCTCTGCTCTCAATCTCCTGAAGCACATAGCACAGATACACATCAAGACATGGACACATTTAAAAATATATATATAAAGCTTAGTTTGAAAAAGAAATTGTGAAAAACTCCACAAATTTGTCAATTTTGTAACTCCAAACCGTCTGAGCAACTGCGCTGTGAGACTTTGAGCACAGAGCTTCCACTGAATCAATTTAATCTAATTTCAATGCAAATCTAGACTCAGATCTGTCTGGTCCATATTACCAGGAAGAAAAAAATCCTGTTTTCTTTTACTTTTAATCTGAAACCAAGTCTTTTCTCAGAAATTAGAATGTAGCAGTGTATTTCATCATGTTGCATGACCAGGAGTGTCTTCTAAAATCTAAAATGGGCTCTGTGATTCATCCATAAAAGGCCCATTTCCCATTTAAATTCTGCACCACACGAAGTGACAGACTGAGCGTGTTGGCAGGGATTCTGTCTGTCTGAGTGTCTTTCATTCAGTGTAATGCGGCAGATACTCCATGTTTTACTAAGACTGAATATTGTGACACCATGTGCGTTCATGATGTCTTTCAACTTTTGTATTTTTATTTTATTATTTGAAGATGCCAAATTGATTTTGCACTTGACAGAAATTGTATTTTTCAAAAGGTAACCTAAACTACATGAGACAGCAGAATAAATTGGTCAACGAGTTTGTGTGGATGATTTGTTGCCTCACCAGGCCGAGCAGGCGGTCGGCCATGTTCTCCTCCGAGCTGCCAGGCAGCATGTCATTTTCATCCCCGCCGCCTTGGATGTGAAGAGTGTGACTGACGCCAGCCATCGCCAGGATCAGAGCCAGTAGAGTCATCACTGCAGCTGTGTCCATGGTCTGAAGATGAAGAGGAGGTTAAACTGATGCTGAAGGAGAAAAAGTTGGCCACGAGAACTTCTGAAATTCACAAGTTGGAGTCCTGCAAAGCAAAAGAGAGAATCACCCCGATCGTGGTTTTGTTTTCTCTCTTTGTGGCGTCGTGATGATATTCACTGGTGGCATCATGCTCTCTGGTTTTATATACACCTTCAGGTCAGGGGCTGGAAACCTCTGGAGAGTTGGAGAACTGTGCTACTGCGACATGGGACTTGATGGAGGAAAAATATGAGACATTAATGATGACTGAGAGCCTGGGCAAATTGTTATGAAGTCCTCAGGGTGATAAAACACAACTCTCTGAGTTATTAACTAGATAAATCCTCGCAAATGGAAGCTGATTTATCAGTCCCTGATGTCCTGTTGCTCACACTGGATGAAAATTGGAAAAACAAACAGTAATTATGCTTCAATATGAGAATTTAGTTGAGGCAGATTTAAATGGTAAAACTTTAAGTAAGATATCGGTTGGCTCTATGACAGTTTTTTCTTTGCGACAGTTTGACTGTCATTTCAGACATTCCTGTTTAATCCTTCTCTATTTTATGGTTAAAATCAAATCATGACAACCCATCTAAACAACAATAATTTATTTTAACATTTTATTTCAATGTTATGATTTATGGAAATACATTATCATACAGGAAAAAAAAACTGTTAAGATTAAATTTATATTTTAATGCTCGATTGCTTAGTATAGTCTGAAAACTTTGTATTTCAATTTATGTACATTTTGATCCATTTTTGGGGTAGTTGACACTTAAAGATAAACAGATTATAACCCCTGATGAATTCAAAATAAATCCCGGTGACCTCTGTTCGGTAGATGTTTTGTACCGGACCAATACAAAAAGATATTATTTTTTTCTGGCTACGAATAGATGATAGAAATATCTTGGTAATGAATCAATCAATGTATGGTCGGTACAAAATACGCGACCCGCATCAAGTTTTCAAAAATACACCAAGTCAAAGCATACACACTGGCTGAATACTTTACATGCATTTGTCTAAATCATCGATCAGTGGAGCAGAAGGTTGTAAAATGTCTTAATTTTGTAGGTTTATGGTCTGTTAACCATCAGTGATAATGGCCAATGCTTATGTTAGCAATAAACACTCCTCCTACCAGCAGTCCATGCATAATAAGTGGAGATAGAAGATGAATAGATGGATTAACAGGAAAACATTTGCTCTCCACTATCTGCAAAAGACAATGATCATTATTGTTTGATATGAAAGACTTTAAGCCAAAACATCACCACAAATTATCAGTATTAGAAGCTTTTTCAGTACTGCTGAGCAATTCTTGTCTTACACGTTTATTGGAAGACAATATTTTCCGTACAGAGAAGAGTCTCGTCTGCTTAGAGCCAGTTTTCAACAATTAGCTTCAAATGAACTGAAGACATTGTTCCTCTGGATTAGCAACGGTCTCTCTGAGTTTCTTAGCTCCGCATGTGTTCACTTTGTTTCTTATTTGCCTCACTGTGGGTTTGTGCGTGTGTTTCCATGTGGTCTTAGTCACTTCCCCAACTATGGATGAGACGTCAACACATTTGGCTCATCAAAGCACCTAATGGGTGACAATCCGCTTAAACACACACGCTGTGTCCCTGGTCCCGTTTAACGGCCATGGCAACCAGGATGACATCTGAAGGATTCAGAAGGGAATTAGCTTTCTTTACTATAATGAGCTCAGAAGCTTTTGGATTTAGAGAAAAATCTTATTTGCTCATTTTGACATGAAATATTAAAAGTAAAATGCACAGTTTTCTCGGTTTTACTTCAAACTGTTGGACTTTAAGTTAATCTCTTCTGTCAGCTTGGTAGAGTTTATTATGTAGTTCAGGTATTTCATCTTAGCCATGTCTTAAAGTGTAGCTAAAACAAAATATTTGACAGTAACATATTGCTGAAGGTACAAAACTAACCTCGATGCAGCTTATTATACAGTACTTTAAACTGTGCCTTTATGATTTTTTAAAAGGCATGGTATCCTTTTTAAACGATTGCTTCATAAATTAAAAAGGAAATTATAATTTCTAAATAATAGAGTACATATCAAATAATTCAGGTATATCCCAAACTTTGTTCTTGTGCCCTGTTGTGAGTCTTAATGTTATTGTTGATATGATCTACTATTGCTGTTGAGGACATCTTATAACTTTTATCATAACAGTCTCAGTATTTACTTATTAAAGCACAATGTTGACAGTCATGTCTCACATTAAAGACTAGCAAAACTTAGTTGAACTTCTCTTCCTAAGGACAACAATTTAAAACAAATCTGATGTAAAATATATGATTTAAGAATCACATTTAAAATTTTAAATCTATAGCAAACTTGCAAAAGTAAAATTATATTGCTTCAGACTTATTAGACTTCCTATCATGACATCATGCAATGTTTTTATGCATTCAGTAACTTTTTTCAGGTCTAAATTACACTGTAAACTTGATCACAAGAAGCAATGACAACCATGGCACAGGGTAAGATTTACTGCACAATTATCTGATAAAAATCTGATAAAAAATAAATCACACCTATCACGTTACTGTGAGTTTCTTACAAAATATGAAAATAAAAAAATGACTTTTCAAGACCTAAAGCTAATTTCTAAATGCTTACAAAGTCAAACTCATTACAAGTCTTTGGTTCCATTTAAAGTCACTTCTGTGATTTGAAGAGCTTTCCTCTGAAAATTCTTGATGGTTTTGGGAAACAAATACCCTTTTCTTTTAGGGGGACTAATGCACAACTCTTTAGGTGCTGAAGTGAAACTAATTTGTGGCAGAATTTGTTTCATATAGAAGAACCAGGTTTGCACTCATGACTGGGACAATTTCTATACAGTTTTAAATTTAGTACAATATGTCTCCTTACGTACCTAAAAACAACAAATATAAACTTACATGTGTCAAATTTTAAATAAACCAATAAATTAAGAAATTTCCAATGATAATTTTTTGTTTGTTTTTATTTTTGTATCCTCCCCAGATTTCTGCTTTGACACAATCAACTGGCCTGCAGGCAATTCCTTTGACTTCCTTTGACTTCATTGTCTGTTTTTTATTTTGACGTTCACTGTCAACTGTCAACTTGCGTCGTATTTCATCAAAAATGTTGTGTATTTTGTGTGCATTCTTGCTGGTGTTGGTTTCACCGTTTTGCTGCCACCTTGTGTTATGTTAGTGAACTGCAACACTTTTTAAATTCAAGACTCCTTTTCTGTTGCTGGATGAAGAAAGTCTAGCAACAACAAATGTCTGAACCTACTTGTCTTTTATTTACAATGTTGACATCGTACAGCCAAACAAAAATAAATAAAACAAATGGCAACAAAAACAACTGGAGTTGGAGACGTCAGAACAGCAACAGGATCCTCATGCAGAAAACAAACGATTGTCCAGCAATACCTAAAAATCCAAGCTGTCTCCTCTTGCTTTACAGTAAACTCTAATTAAACAAAAAAAAAGCTTGCCCTTCTGTTTGTAGTTGGTTTACAAAACCAGGAAATCTGCTCTTTGTGTTGCTCAGTGTTTGAAAGAGATTGTAAACATCCACCGGTACCAACAGATGTCGGAGCGCAGCCTCATCTAATTAGAAGGAGCCTTGTCTTTGTAATGAGTAGATCTCCATCTGCCACTTTTACTACAAGGCACATGTTTGACATTAGACCAATCAATGATGAAATTAGAATACCGGTTTACGTGAATTTATACGAGTAGTGATCAGCGTAACAAGTGAGATTGTATAGTTAAAAACAACTTTATTTGCTGCACGGCTCTTAAAATGCCTGGAGAAAAATACACTTGATGAAAAAAATAATTTACCTGAAAACCTGCTGTAGACATTCTTTCTTGTGCATAATGACCATTATATTTCTTGTTATCAGCAGGAAATTGTTGAAAAAAAACTGGGTTAGCTTTCTGACACATTTGATTTCCATGCAACAACATTACCACAAACCTCAGCAATTCATTCCCTCCATAATATTTCATTGTAAATTCAAGGTAACCCAGGCAGCAGATCAGAGATGTTTTGCAGATTTAACTAATATAACTCAAAAAAAAAACAGTAACACAGGGGTTTCCTCTTAAATCATGTGACAGCAAAAAAAGTGAGCATACAGGTGCATCTGAAATAAAAATATCATCAAGAAGTTTATTTTCATAACTAAATTTGAAAAGTGAAACACCAAGTGGGAAATTTAAAACATTTTTAATAGTTCTAAGCCATCAAATTAAATTGAAGTAATTAGTATGTTATAAATATTTTTTCACTTTTTGAACTGTTACTGAAATAAATTAACCTTTCAATGTTACTTTAATTTGTTGGGATGCACTTGTATTAAATACATTTTCAAGTATCCATTTTCAATGCATTCCTCCAATTGTTACTAACAAAAAAAAAAAACATTTTCCACAGATTTTGTTAAAAAGCTGTTTTTCTTTGCCCATACTCATCATTAGTCCCAGTAGTTAAGGCAAAAAGTAGTCTTTGTCAGATGGCTCCTGCATCAATCTGCTTGTCTGATGGCATCTAATGTTGTCCTCCATGTCTGTGCATTCATGCAGGTCTTTGATTTTCCAGTCCTCCTTTGAGCTGCCAGTCAAAATCACTGACAGACGGCGAAGCGTCAACGCTCCCTTGTGTAGGCCGGGAAACATACTGAGCCGCTAGACTTGTTCTAATCTGGTTGTGAGGCTTCAGTACTCGCTGTCAAACTGTGAAATACTGTGGACACACAGTGTAAACAGAATATCTTAGGCCAAGATGTTAATGAGCTGCAGTTGGGAGAATGCATATCTGCTCAAAGGCTCCCAATTTGCATGTTCTGACATGCAGAAAATCTCATGATCCCAGTTTTGGTGCGCTTTTTTTTTTCTTTCTTTTTTTCCCCTTTTTGAGTCAGTTAGTTACAAAGCAAAGACAGAATGAGTACCACACACGCTGATTCAAATTCAGTGCTTTAAAGTTACAAGGTCCCATCACTCCAGTGCGTGGCCCATTCCTTTTTATGGATGCTTCCAGACTTCTCCGTTTGGAACTGTGGCCGGAGCTCGCGAGGAATCTTCACCGCATGGTACTGAGGAAGTTTGTCTTTGTAGTGGGCACGACGGAAGAAGCCACACTATCCACATAGGAAGGGGAGCGAGTCGAAAGAAGTTGAGGAGCAGGTAAGAAAGAGGTCATGGAATAAAAGAGAAAAACAGAGATTCAATCATCTCGTCATGTCATCTAATCCTTTAATTTTACTTAGATGATGCTCTTATTACCTGCGGTCAATAAAGCACACACCATAAAGCACATTGTCATGCTCTTTGATGCTAAACTTATAGACATGTATGACTTAAACTTCACTAAATAAACATCTGTCCTATTAAAAAATCAGAATAAAAACACCCAGCGATTTTGTCAAGTTCATCCTGGCAGTTAGATATAGCGTATCATACAAACCAAACAAGGTTAAAAAAATGTTGCACAAGTGTTTATGTCATAAAATGAATCATCTTCACAGAGCGATGCCAGAATGAACAGGTGCAGGTCAATAAACAGTAAGCGGCACCACACACAGCACAGCAGGCAGCTCAAAGCCCTGAAGCAGAGGCGGCTGGATGGTGTTCAACAAGCACTAATTAAGATGAGATCCTCAATAATGGAAGCATTTCGCATGCTAATCATCATCCAATGGAACTGACGATTGATCTAATAAGTGTCTCAGGTCTTGGAGACTCCACTGAAAAAAAGAGAATGGAGCTGCAAACATTTTTGATTTGTTACATGTAACTGACTTAGGTTTGTCAGATTTACTTTATTTACGTTTGTTTTACACGACAACTTTAGTAAACTTAATGTTTTTACTTGGATGTACTTAATTTGATCAAGAGAGATGTAATGTTTTCAGCTTGCTTTTTTATTGCGTAGCAAATAAAGAGGATTTGTTACCATACTGTGCATTGCATCATACCTTTTAAAGGTAGAAATTAGGACACTATCTAAAGCTTTGTGGAATAACTTACATTCAGACTCAATCATAACTGGTACATGTAAAGAAGTGTAAATATAAATATATTTTTTTAATATATTTTTTTACTACAGTAGCGTAATCACACATTGAAACACTGAAAAAGTTGCATCTTTAATGTTCACTCATTGATTCAGAAAGTTAAAAATAAAAATCTGAATATTAGAAATTAGCAGGACACAATTACTTTCAGCCCTGCTGTATAGATTTTACACAACTCCCATACTGCCAATAGGACAGGACTCATCTCTGTTTCATGCTATGACGTACAACACCAGCCTTCCTGTGGGCTGAGCAGCAGAATAATTGTGCATGAGGAGTTTTACCGCTTGGAGAGAGAGGAGGAGGGGAGAGCAGGCCAGATGGAAATAGTTTGATATTATAGCTCTAATGCCTGCTTCTCCGCCTCCGAGGGCTGCACCCCCAAATGGGCGCGGTAGTACTCCGTCTCATAGTGCGGGCGCTGCTCGCTGCGCTTGAAGAAGCCGCACTGAGGCATCAGATCATAACGGAGAGGGAGTGGAGAAACAAAACAAAAAAAAGTGACAGGTTCAAAAACAGAATGATCCATGAAAGAAAAAAAACAGGAATGGGAAAACATAAAAAAATTTATATATAGGCAGAAAAGGGGAAAGTATAATTTAGAGACAGCTGGAAAGACTTATATGACTGGAAGATAAAAGAAAAGTCAGAAATAAACAGATTGAGTGCAGAGAAAATGCTGAATACTAAATGTGTTAATTATCCCATCACTGAAAGTTAAGTGATGGGATTATTTACACATTTAGAAACCTCTGAGTTGGATGTTGATCTTTAGAAAGCCTTGATGAACATCTTAGCGACAAACAGTATTTGAGGGCATATTTAAGTACCAGTGCCAAAGGTTTTCTTCACATAGGTGCTGAAAATATGCTCATTTTTATCTCAATTTAATATTTGACAATTATTTACAGATGCATCTCAATGAACTGAGATTTTATTTAAAATGTATTTATTTAAAAAATAATGCCTTAATTTCTAAATAAAATGCAAAAATTAAAAACTGGACTCTGGACCACTGAGTGATCATCCAGTCATTGTTCTGCTCAATTCTGATAAAGGGCTTCCTGCATAGACTGTGGTTCAGAAGTGGCTTAATACAAGTAAAGCAATAGAAAATGTCTTTGAAACATCTGTGTTTAGCATGATCCATGAAAGATCATGATCCTGCAGCTCTGAGTCCAGCTCCAATCCACACCATGTAAATCTCCAACAATTCTTGAATGAGGTTTCTTCTCATCTTATCATAGCTTGTCCTTGTAGATCATACAGTTTTTCTCCGAGATATATTTTGCTTCCACCAAACTTTCCTTATACTATCATCCAGCAAAAAGTAAGCCACAAAATCTTTTGAGTATAAAGAAGTCTACACCACGGCTCAAATAGCATAACACCAAGAAATCCGGTGAGTTACCTTCCATAATATGCAGACAAGGAGAGTCAGCAGCAGGATGCCTGCCAGGATGGCGATCAGGATGATCCACCAGGGAATCATGTATTGCTCTGCAAGATCAAGCTCCGGGTAGATCATTACTGGGATCTGGTGAGGAAGAGAGCGTTAATTGTAGAATTTGCAAACTGAAACATATTTTTTTCACATATTTTAATGTATTCTGTGGTAACATCTGACCTGAAAATCTTCTTGGTCACTGGTTCGGTGAACATACATGTTCAGGACTTCTGTTTTTCAATGTGTTTAAATATATTATAGTAATTTATTCTTTACTTTTCTGAGGTGAGCTGAGTACCTGTACAGATGCATCTCTGAGGACCAGATGTTTGATGGTGGACTTGACAGAGATGTTTGCTCTGATCAGCAGCTCCAGAGCACTAACCGTTGGAAAATCCTGAAAGACAGAGACATGAATCAAACTTTGACCGTAAAAGTGATTTTAATCGTTCAAACATGAGTATGTTTAGGTTGCAGTTTCCATCTCAACCCATCACAATATTTTGAAAATGAAAATAACGAAATAATATTTCATTATTTTGAAAATATGATATTTTAAGGGCATTTTAATTAATTCCTTAATGAACTAATCTTCAGTTCTTGCCTTTAAAGACATTTAAAGGAGATATGACTTCTTTTTTTTTTTTGTTTGGTTGTTTTACCTCTATGAAACTGCTCTTCCAGAGTCTGGCGTGGATCTTGAGGACAGCCTGACCAGTAAAGCTGTGGAGTGGACACTGGAACAGCACACAGCGCGCTGAGCCCAGCAGGCAATCCTGAGCAGCAAAAGGACAGCTGAACAGTTTGCAGTGGATTATCCATTAAAAAAACATTCTTTGTGTCATAATCTCAGCAAATCAAAAATATCTATCTTCAGTTTCCTGAGATCATTTGCAATAATTAACTAAAGTTAGTTATTTTTTCCAAACTTCTTGTCCCTCCTACCAGTTTGAGTGACTTGCGTCTCTCTGAAGCTGCCACTGCTGGCGTGGTGCCTCCATCGCTGCCTTTTGTCATCATTTGCTCTTCCTCCTCTGGGTGTGAACGGCGACTTCTACCCACCTGTAAATAGTCCCATAAATGATCTTTTAAGCATGTAAATTTGGATGTAAGTGGAGGTTGGAGAACAGCTGAATGACCCTAACTGGAGTTCCACCTACCACCTGATTAGCAGCTGAGGAACTCTGCAGATTTAGAGGATTGACAGCCTCAGCGGGACTGCAATGAGTGTCTGGTTGGCCCTCAAACCTCAGTCTTGCAGGATACAGCAGCCACTTCCCATTGGGCAGCTCGAAAGGCCACATGATGTTGAGGGAGGCGGAGCCAAGTTTCTGGAGCGCTTTTCCAGGATTGGAGAGCTGAGAAAACAGTGGTTGTTTTATCTTTTTTCTTAAAACTCTCTCCAACATTAGTGAAAATGAGAAATTAAATTGTAGTAATCACAGAATATTATACTTTGATGAGATACATGACAAAAACACAAGATCTTACCAGGTATTTTGTCCAGTTTCTACTACAAATATCTACATCTAACTAAATGTAGAACCTAAATTACAGATAACTTTCCAGTAAAATATTAATTTTAAAAAGTACGATTTCCACTGGCAAATTTTTGACCCCTAAAACAAAACAATTTTCCAATATTATAAGTGAGAAAATCTGCTAGTGAAACAAGTACTTCTAAAACAAATCTGTATTGAGGAATTACTGACTTAAAACAAGCTACAATATCTTACTGAAGAGGTATGTTTGTTTTGTCATATTTCAAGTGAAGTCAGATATTTGCAAATTGAACGAGGGTTATGTTTTTGCCTATCTAAGTACACAGTTAACTTAGATAGGCTTAAACTCACCACAAATTCTAAATCTACAGGGTTACCGATGTCCTCTAGGCTGGTCATGGCACTCTCCCCCTTTACGGTACCGCTGAAGAACAGCTGATGAGGACGAGCTAGACTGAAAAAAAAAAAAACAATCACATCCACACTTCAGCTTGGAGGCTTTTCTTCATACCTCTGGATAATTTTCTCATGTTACAAGTGAAACTTCACTATTTTTTCAATCTTTTTTTCAAATAAAAGTCTGAAAAGTACGGTATGCAACATTTCCTCCAATATCTCTAAGTAAAATCTATTTTGACTGTCTTTAAAAGATATCTAATTAAATTGAATCCCATATTTACACTCAATTTTGTCTATCAAGACCAATACGACTTATTTGTGGAAAACTGTTTACTCACCCATTGACCGACAGGGGGAGCTCTATCACAACTTTAGCAAAAGCTGTGACAGGATCCAGACTAAGCTGTTCACTGATCCTGGAGAGAAAACATCAACAAGTCACAATAAAAACTTCTTAAATAAATGAAAGTGTTCACGTGTTAAACACTGGTTGATACAGATGGGGTAAGTGGGACATACGTTGCCAGTTGGAGACCTGCAGTGAGTTCAGTGGTCTCAGTAGTAATATTTGACGTACTCAGGTTGATGGTGAATTTTAGCTGAAATGAAGTATAAATATAATTGTAAAACAGACAGAGGTTTCAGTCTGGTTTGAATGGTCATAATGCATGTAGATTTCATTTAAAAGTAAGAAGCAACACATTCACAAGACCAGATATAAGAAACTATTTTCTACCTTCGCATTTCGCTTGACAGGATTTCCGAGATCACATTCAACCTGGGATCCATTCTGATTCGCTTGACATATCATCTGCAGTTACAGCACATCAAACACATACCTTCATAACAAACACACTGATTCACACAGGGACTCCTCTAACTCCTTAATTTAAGTCATACCTGAGGTGGGACCCTGGAGCCGGCGTATGGTAACGTGTCTGGAAGTGTGATGAACAATTGGGAAGCGTGAGCGTCATCGCCGTCCTCCTCAGGATTCAGAGGGTCTGAAGGCATGTTGGTGACTGTGATCTCCAGCACCACCAGTCGTTGATCAGACAGAGAAAACACCTGAACGCCATCATTATCTCTGCACCAAGACAAGAAAAGGTTGGGTCAGCTGGTTGAAAAGCAAACATTTTGCAATAAAGTAAGAAATATATATAAGCACACAATCTTTCTAAACTAAACTTACTGGGTTGTAGTAAAAGTGTATTATCAATGAAAGACATCATCAAACTCAAGTATTAACCAGTGACTGCACTAACTTTGGCAGAGGAGTGAAGAAGTCAGAGTTAAGGTCCGTTGTTCCAAACTGGTAGCTCAGCTTCAGATTGCTCTGACAGATTTTGTCGCTGCCGCATCCCTCTCGCAGGAAGTTCACCTTCAGAGTTTATTCAAAGAAAAGCATCTAGTTCCAGGATTTCAATTAAAAGATCAACTACCCTTACTTTTGCTACAAACCTCAGAATTTAGCGTTTTAGATGGAGAGATATTCAGCACAGGTGGTAGTTTCTGCGCCCTCTTAGCAGAGTTTCTGCGTGGCGGCACAGGCTTGATGTTGTGGGTTATCGCTAATGAAATGGGACGCAGTTTGTCACGAATACTTTCCTGCAGGACAGGAAGCAAAACAGACCAGGAATGTTTAGCCGAATAAACATAGGTGGTAAAAAAGCAGCATAAACTTAGACATGGTTGCAGTTAGTAACTGACGTGCAGCTGGAAGATGGCGGTGGCGCAGTGAGTCTCGCGCTGCCGATGAAGCTCCACTTCTTCTGTTTGGGTGTATTCGGGCTCCAGCGAGCTGCGTCCCAGAAAGCTAACCCGGTGAGGGAGGCCCAGCTTTCTGCGCTCTGTGTCTGCTTCAAAATGCACCACCAGGGCTTGAGGAGAGAAACAAGAAAGGAGTCAAAATAAAAAGTGAAAATAAAACTAAAGCATATCTGCATGTCATTTGAATGTAATTAAATGAAATAAGAGAGGTTTCTAATGTTCGTATAAAATCTCTTGACACATGATACAATTTCTGTTGTGAAGAAGGTACATTAAACAATATAAACGCTGAAGACTTTAGTTTGACTTACTAATGTGTGGTGAGTAATGATGAGGGTGTGCCGTGAACATAAAACAGGCCTTAACCTCAACACTAAAAGGAAGTTGGAGAAAAGCAAAACCCAGTTAGATATTAGCAGACACTGTTTTAAAGCAACAAATCCTTCAGTTTAGGGCTGAGTTGTCTTAGACGGTTTTCACATCATTTGTTCATACCAGACACCATCTCTTTCCTTGCAGTTCTTTTGGTCCAAATCAATATTTTGAGGGTCAATTGATACTTCTCTGACCACATGGATGACCGGACAAGACCTTGAGGACACAGAAACAGCACAATATGATGCATTAAGGGAAACTAAATCATCCGCTTTGACGTTCTTATTGCCTAGTTGTTTGAAGTATTTTCTACATATTGATTACAATTAGGAAACATTAACTAAAGATTATAGACCTATGACTTTCTGTGTAGATGTTTACTGAAAAAAAGTACTTTGTGAAATTTATATTTGCTGGTGTTTTTCTTACCTGAAGAGAACTACTGAGTCATTAAGAGAACCAACAGCCAAATCTGGATAATGGTTCTCATCGATATCCAGCCCCCCTGAAATGGAGTATCCGAAACGGGTCACATCAAAGTCATGGCCATCCAGAACCTGATGTGGTGCAGATTACATTCATTAAAACCCTCACTGCTTACATTTGCTTACATGCAAATGTATTAGGTTTTCTTCTGAAACTGACCTGAGCAGGTTTAGTTTCAATTCCAGCATCGGAGCCTCTGTAGATAAAAACCTTCCCATCTCCATCAAATGGAGCTCCCACAGCAATATCTGAAAATATTAGACAGACTTATTTTTACCTCTTTCGGTTCCCCAAGCACAAGTAATGAGGACCTTTCAACCTGTAACACCAACAGCACATTGCATTTTGGAATTTCAGAAACCCCAGTCTCAAAATCTTACAATTCAAACACAACCTTTTTGTTATGAATACATGAGGTTTCTGATTAAGATTCACGATTGAGCTCTGTGAACAAAAATCAGTGTTGCTCACACCTCCATATCCGTCCTGATCCAGATCTCCGATGCTACTGACTGTCATCCCAAACATGGAGTCGTATGTCCCATTGAGGCGGATCGGTCTGGCCTGATCATCCCAGTGACCAAGCGGGTTTAGATAAACATAAACAGCTCCACCAATCTCTGCTTTGCGGTCAAAAAAGTTGGGAGCTCCAACAATCACATCTGTCCATCTAGAAACAGAAATAGATCACATATTTAAATAATTTTTGAAGGTTTATAGACCACTCTCCTCATCTTTGAACAATTTTGATTTATGTGGTTATATCTCAGAAATCAGACTTTTTTTTATGCTCATTTTGAAGAAGTCTTTTGTATTTTTTGTTATTTATTTCTTTTTCATATTAACAGAACTATTAACCACACAAACTCACATACACAAACCCCACAGGAAACTTCCATTTATATGAACATTTCAGCTGCTTCTCAGCAGGTCTACAGTAGCTAATCTGACCTCTTCCTCAATTTGTCCTTGAGCCAAATCTCATCTGCTGCTGTAGTGGCAATAGCAAATGTATCAGCCACTGGTTTTTTAGTTTTTTTTTTTTTTTTTTTTTCTATAGCAGCCTTTTAGCTTTTCCCCTTTGTCCATTTTCATCAGGAGCATTGAATTTGTTATATTATTCTTGCTTCATTGGATTTTCCCATCATCTTCCAAGAAAATCAACCAAAAGGGACAACAAATATTTTTTTAATGTTTTTTTTTGGTTCAAATATAACTGCCTCGTTCTGGCCAAAAAATGTGCGGCAACCCGTCGTGGGAATTGACAGTAAGCCAGATGAATTCACAATGAATTATGAATTAGCTTTTCCTCACCCATCCATGTTAAGATCTGTGGTGGCCACCGAATATCCAAACGAGGAAGCCAGCTCCTCCCCCCAGAAGATGTGCTGTGGCACCAGTCGGTGCACATTGTCCTTCCTCAGCAGCACCACAGCCCCTGTGTGATTGGCACGTGGTGCGCCGGCCACAAAGGTCAGCTCCTTGAGATTCATTATACCCTTAGCTGAGTCTACAGAAAACCCTGGTGTAAGAGGAGAAAAAGGCATAAGAAGAGGAAAAGGGGGTTGGGGAGTAACGGATTTAGGTTCAGACATTAGTATTGGCTGTGAGGTTTAGTGGCAGCTCTTCAGTATGTGCAATGATCTGCTTGCCTTCTTACTAATGAAATGTGTAGCTTAAGTGACTATTGATTTTATGACAGAGTCATGATGTGTGTAAATGCTGTGGGTTGTGTTTGTGTCTAACGGTAAAAGCGAACGGGCTAAATGTGACAGTAACAGAAAGAGATGTTTGGTTTTGGTCTGATGAGACTGATGACGCTGCAGCTCATGCCTCTGGCGGGGTCAGTGTGTAAATAATGTGAAAGCACATTAACCTGATTTATGATCAAATGCATCTGTTCTGTCTTTATGTGTGCTCTCTGCAACCTGATGTGTGCAGGAATGTGAAAATACGCTTGAATGTTAATCATCTGAACCAAAGCAGTAGCAAGTGTGTTTACTTCATAAAAATATTGTGTTAGTATTTTCTTATCAAGATGTAAAACAAGATACAAATCATTTAGTCTTTTATACAAATACATACATTTTTCAGTGTAAAAAGCAGGCGGAGGGTTCATGTGGAGGGGTTAATCCATGACAACACACAGGACATTCATTAGCTCTAAAAAAAGCTCTAAGTAAACATGCAAAAGAAGACGAGATGGACACAAAACGAGAGCAGCTCCAGGGTGGCAGGTGTGGAATTTAACATTGCAGCTCCTCTGAAACCAATAAATGGAGGCTGGGTGTTACTTTTTCTGCACATGGTGACTTTTAACATGCATGCTAACAGCAAGCTTAAGCAAAACTAAATGTGGAGCAAAGCAGAAAAAAAATGTTTACCACTGTGGTAACTCTTCTGAACTGTATGGGTTTTTTTAAGTTTCACCACAGAATAATAAAATATGTTTAATATTTTGGATTATATATCATAACTTACATAAATCTTACTTTCAATCATATTCCACACAATAATTACACATACTGTTTTGTTTAATCTTCCTTTAATTAATGGTATCTATTGGTAGAAAAAATACAAATGAAGTGATTTGAAATCATTTGGCCTTAAATCATAAACTAAGTCATCTCCATAAAATTGACAATAAATGCAAATGCCCAAAGTGGTAATATTTCAAACCAGGCTAGTATTAAAACTGTATTATAAAACTGCCTTTTAAGCTTTTATACATTCTGGGTCATACATACATGGCATTTAGAATGGATGCCTGACATCATTAAAAAAAAAAAAAAAAAAAACACCAATTTGAAAGGATAATTTGCTCTGTTAATCAGCTGTGACCACATTGTGATGAAATGCATAAATCCTGTGATATTTAAGAGCAATGATTGAAATGTTAGCACGCATGCATAGGACTGTCATGTCATTTGATTGCAGGATCAATGGACGCATATGAGTGATAAACGAGGGTTAAAAGGTCAGGAGGGAATTAGTGTTGTCAAGGAGACAGCGCAACTTTGCGAGGGTATTCGGGCTCAGAGGAATGTGAATAGAGAGATTTATAGTGGATCCACACAGTCAAGAATAATGACTGAAAATGGACAATAAATATAAACTGGTCTTGTTTAGCAGACGCTGGGTCTTTGACAACAGACAGTTTTAATATGCCTGATAGAGACGCCCTTCCAAATGTTGTTTCTGAAGCTTAACGGAAGCCACTGACTCTTTAATGCCTAGAGATTTCATGTAGCGCCACCATAAGATTAATTTATTTTCTTGAAATCTATTAAGATTGGCTAACCAATAAATAAATGCCTTTTGCCCCAAAATTGTTGTAATATTTATGCACATTCTCTTTTTTGATCTACTACAAAAAACGTGTTTTCTTATCTGGTCAGACGTCTTCAAGATCCTGCAAAACATAATAACTTTTGATCAAATAAAACAGCTGATATACCCACTGAACTTTTCAAAATGTTTCCTACTTCACAAATAGAAACTTTTATGAGGTTTTGTTTTATTCATTTTATATGACAGACTACAAAATTGTGCACAAATGTGAAATGGAAGAAAACGTTTCTTTTTTGTATGAGACGTGCACAATGAGATGTTTAAAGCTGAGATAAATTAAGCCTAATCTTGCTTCTTCAAAACTCATCAATTGGATTAATGCTGAGATTAAATTACACCCAATTTGTGTCTACTGATTAGATGACTTCAGACATTGGTTCAATTGATAATATTCTGGTATTAATGATACGGGTCTTAATACAAATGGACAAAAAAAAAAACATATCTTCTTTTTTCATGCACTTCTTTGTTTTGGTCTGTCACATAAATTACAAAACAACTAAATTTAAGTTTTTTTCAGTTTTGTGAAAAATACACTTTGTAAAAACAGCAAAACTATTGTTACACCATCTATGTTAGCGTTTAGTTAGAAACACATCTGCACAACAACACTTCTTGGGTTGTTAGTTAAATTCTAACAGTTTTGTTCAGTAAAACTCCAACAATCAACAGAAAGCCCACCACCAAGATGCTCTGGAAATCTCCACCAAAGCAAACACTGACAAATGGTCTAAAAACACTAATGACATCGGACAAAACAGACAAACACCCTCGTGCTATTAAACACAGAGAGACAACAATCTTCTTGCCTCAAAGACAGGAAGTTGGGAATGCTGACTCAAATTAATCTAAAAAATATTAAATTAAGTCAAATTAAGTTATGAGAGTTCAGAGAAAAAGAAAGCTTTCTCTTATTATGGTACTAAGACTACAGAGTAAAATCTACATCTGAGGACAAATGATGAGGACAAAGACAGAGACAGAACACAAACTACATCAACTAAGAGTCCAACCGGATCCAAACAACACTCCACGCCTACAAACCTAAGTAGCTATTATGAGCTACGTCCTCAAACGGTGTGGAAGGCTCCAGAGTTTTGTACAGCAGTGCATCTTCAACGGCGCTAGCCATGAACAAGAGCCCTATGTGGCCCAAAAACGGGAAAAGAAAGAACAAGTGCGGTAGGGGAGTGATGGGGTGGTGAAATGGTGAGGGAGGAAAAAGAGGAGAAGAGGGAGTGCAGGTGAGACAAGCTGTGATTGACTGATGCTTTGTTTTTGAGGCACAGCAGCACTTTCGTCTGCAGAACCACAGAGTTCATGTTGGAAAGGTGACGTTTTAGGCTCAGACTGCATCCCACCCACAAAAAATGTGACAAATTTTCTCCCTTCCAGCTTCTCAAAGAGGATGGCACATGTAATGAGGGCAGCATCATCGCTCTGAAGCTGGACCATACAATGTTTTCTCTTGTTTCTATAAGAAATCCAGTAATCACATGAATTCAAAAGAATTCATGTCAGGCCACTGTCAGCTGCAGGCGGTTTTAACATGTCCAGCCACTGTGAGAAAGGACTTACAGTGGGTGGACACTGATATTGAGTCATATTTTGGGTTTTATGAGTCACGGGCTCAGCCAGAAATAATCCCTAGGGAATGGGAGTGACACTAAAACAAGTTTACCCTCTTCCAGTCAGGGGCGGTTGAGGTCTTGCTACTGTTCCTGTGTTTAGTCAGGTTACAGTCTGAGCCTGGACGTCAGCCTCCCACGGCCCTCTCTTTCTCTCCTGTGCTCGGGCAGCAGTGAGCATAGAGGGCGAATCCTACCCAGGTAACTGTGGTAGGGCAACGGGATGAGCAGCGCATTGAGCTCATTGTAATCTGCCACCTCATACGGGCCGTCGTCATAGAAACCGAGTTCAAGAACAGTCTGGTTCAGGAGCTCGACTCGCAGTTCGCCTGCGAAGGAAACAGGTGAAGGCACAGCAGGGCAACAAGAACACATTTTCTACAGTGATGATGAAGCAGAAAGGACAACACATTTCAATTTCTGTTTTTTTTTTATTTTCTTGCATGTTTCACTCTAAATTTAAGTTTAAGAATCTACTTTGTTTTAGGACTATACTGTTCAATTACTCTTCTGCCACAGCTTCATTCTTGTGTAATAAATTATGACATGATGCGATATTGATGCAACAATCACTGACTTTTTACTTAAACTTGTACAATTTCACTGACATTTTTGTCATATTTGGGTGATACCAATTAACCTCAACAAAAGTAATTATCTTATGTTATATTATGACCTTATGCTTTGAGCTTGTATTGCTTTGGGGGTGCAAACATTTCCAAATGTTTGCACCCTCTTGAGTCAAGAGGGTTGTTCTTGAGTCAAGCACGGCAAATACACAATGACAGAGAGCTAATTGTTAGCTTTTCTACTATACTTAATAATTGTAAAACCATATTTCAGTGCATAACAGAAAAAAAACACTTATTTTGAACTTCCAATGTATTTTACTTTTTTGTTTAAAGTATCAGTTTAAGCTGGCTGAAGACTACCTTGTATTTTTATGCCAAATATCAGTAAAATAAATTTAAAAAATATAAACATACACTGAAATTTAAACTGTGAACATTTAAAAGGTTAATATTTACATTTTCAGTTCTACCTTATTCATCTTTCTGCAAACAAATGTTTAACGTTTTAGCAAAGAAGGAGCTCCTGACAACATGTTTCTGGATAGAAATTTGATGTTTGTTTTGTAAAGTGAACTGGATTAAATTTGTTGTGAATTTTCAAAACAAAGATAAACTAAGTTGAGTTCAGCTGAATTTTTATGTGAACATGCATAAAGGAGTTGAAATGAGAAAACACTGTGTTATATATTTACCTCTGAGTAAAACTAATCCATTAAGTAATAATTGCATTAGATAAATCAAAGAGCTTAATTTGCTTTAGTATCTGTCACTGTTTGTGTTCAATCAGTAGATTAGCCAATAATCTTGAGCTCTGTCCTGCAGTCAGTAATATTTCCATACATATATATATAATATATTTCCATTGACTGCCTTTCTTTCTTAGATTACAATAAAGATTTTTAACCCACTTCTTGCATTTTCTGAATACTGCAACAATGTTTTCTTAAACTTTGATACGTTTTGTAAAATTTGAAATATATATTAATGCTGCATTGACATGTTACCTTTCCAGTTGTAGGTTCCTGGAGCTCCAAACAGGATAAAGTTTCTGTCTGGAGTGAAACTGACAGACAGGCCCTGCTGACAGAAGCCAAACTGCTCGTGTCCCTGCGATCGACCCTCACAGAACTTCCACTCCCCTCCGTCCAAGTCGTCCCGCCTCGTCAGGTCATCGCTCAGGACGTAACAGCGTCCGATGGGATCCCGAGTTTCCGAAGGTTGCGTGACTCGTTGTCTTAGCTCATACAGGTGAGCACAGGTCTTGTGAGAAACAGAATGACATGTATTCCTTCAGTCTGGCTCATATAAAACACCCTGTTTTTGCCCAATTACAGACACCTTTCTGCATGGATGGATGTTTAGAATAATACTTACCACCACCTTCCCTCCAATTCCTTGACTTTTTACCGAAACTCCCAACCACTGATTGTCTTTGCTTTCTCTGTCAAGACTTACTGTGTAAAAACAGAAAATGAAGCATCAGTGTCAATATTGATGATGATAATGAACAGAGTGCTAAAGCTGCAGGGAGCAACTACATACTGATACTGAAAAAGAATGAGGAAAACATGAGGTACTCTTAAATGATCTAATCATTGCAATATTAAACAATATTATCACAGTCTTTCCCTTTGGAGCTTTGCCCCATTTTTTCTTAATCTAAGGACCTTCTAAAAGACTATGCAAATGAAACAAACATGAAACAACCAGCAATACCAGTGGTATTGCAGGTGGTGTATATTTCCAATATGATCAGTGAAGGAAATAAAAAAATAATAAAACAATAACAGAAATGCCATAATGTATTTAATGCACCCAAAGTCTGCATCTGTTTACTGCAGCTTTGCTTTTTAGACCTTTTTCTGTGGACATGTTGAGTCATCGTGTTTATTGTTTCTGAAGCACTCTAGCTTTCAAGAAACCATCCCAACTCAATAAATGTATTAAAAGCATTAGGACCGTCACATTTGACAATTGTCAATAAAGACATTTTTTCACATGTCACTACAATCTCAAAGTTTTACTTTTCTTGATGTTACAAATGATGGAACACAGAAAACATTTTGTTAAAAATGTTATTATAAAAAACAAACAAACAGCAATTAAGCTGCTTGTAGATCACCTAGTTAATTACTGGTTGAATTTTACAAGCTGAGCATAAACTAACCGTCTTCATCGATATTGACCCTCTCACAGTCGTACTCCTCCGGCGTGATCGGACAACGGAAAAGGGCTCCGGTCCGATTTCCCGTCAGCGGACCCCGCCCTGCTGCCTGTGGCGCTCCCACCAAGATCCTAACAAAAAAAGAAGAATTGTATCATTTTTAATGGCTTTTTCTTCAACAAACAAGGTAATGTACATTCAAAACCACAGATATTTAAGGCTATTTCTATAGCAATCTGGAGCTCAAGTGAAACTGTCAAAATTCAGTGCAGCACATCATATAGTCTTGATTAGTTCTGTGAGTTTTTGGTGCACGTTTTATGTCTATAATTATAGTACAGAAAAGTTTAATTTCTAGTGAGGGTTGGCTGATATTTTGGGGCTAGTGTCCTTGTACTCTGCCATATTAGGAATGGCTGATTCGGGCAAGGACGCTATTTAAAAACCCAGCGTTGAGCTTCATTTCCCTACAACAACATCAGCCACAGCATATACATATACATGGAAGTGATGACAGAAAAAGATGAGAGACAAGGAGCTGAACATGTAGAAAAATCAGATGATCTAAAGTTTTGTCAAGGAATCTTGTTCAATTTTTAAAAAATAGATATTTAAGTATCAAAAATGCTTTTTCTGGTATGCATCAACTTATCAGGAAAGGTGGGTGATGTTCATCAAAATGCATCCTTCAATTTGTTTATACAATCTTTTGAGTGCATTTTTGTTTCAATCATCATACAGTTCCAAAGATTAACTGTATTACTGCAAGTTACAGTACTAAGTGTTTGTCTGATTTGTATAGTTTTAATAGCCAACACATCATTCAACTAAGATTCACCTAAAATGATGATCATTTGTTTGGACCAAACCATTTTCTCATGGTGATTTAGGATGCTTAGATTCTCTGATTTAATTACTTATTTGTGTAATTTATCATCTGACAGTTTTTGAACTTTATCTAAAACAGGTCCTACAGCAGTGGAGATTCATAGACATGAGTATCACCTAAAGTGCAGCTGGGCTCTATGTTGTGCTACTTGACAAAGAATCCTGTTGAGATATAACTGCGCTCATCTCTGTAAAAAATCCTGAATTTGAATAAAAATAACCAGCATCAAGCACATTAGATCTGACATAAGCCTAGCGAGGATGCCACAATTCATCAGTGGTAACTCTGGAGTACTGATATGGTTAATATCATATAAATGCAATGTTTTTTAATTTAAAACCAGGGAGACGATGATAAGATCCAGTTTAACAGTCCAGTAGGCTCTGTTCTACATCTGTGAGTAAAGATGATAGATATCTCTCTTTTCTCATTCATGAGCAGATGCAGGTATAGGGGTGTCATTCCGGGAGGTTGAGTAATCTGCTATACCACCCCTGTACAAAAGGAGAGCTGTTGTTTACTAAACTTTAAAAGGGTTTTAAAGTCACAATGGGTGAATAGTAAAACCACTGGATCATTGGAAAATTAACAATATTCATCATTCTTGAAACGTAAAATATCTCTGTTGAGCAGCACTTTTAAGTATAAAGGACTCGGTCCAATTATGCAGTACACTTTCCAAAAGCTGGTCTATTTAAAGCTAAAGGAAAGCTCATTTCAAACAAATCAAGCAGGTGTCACACAAGAACATTTATAAAGAAGGAATGTAAGCAAACCAAAATGTTGAAGGTAGGCTATACTATTACTGGTACTGAGTTTCTTAGAGTACTAAAATCTGTTCTGCTCTTATTTATAGCAGTAAGGTACATTGGGTTGGAATTTTAGAAGCATTTAATGTAAACAGAGATACTGAAATAAAGTAAAGTGGTTGCAGCTCAGCACACAGACATGTACACCTGTCCTGAAGCCTCAAGGGTGAGTAATACTTTCATCTATTTGCCCTTCTACCAAGTCTGTGCCAACTCATTGTTTAATGCTGACTCAGACCGTCCCATCTTAATCCCCATTACTAAACTCAATTTTCAGTAAATCCACATTTGAGACGGACTGCATGGTGAGTGTGTGATGTGTGTCATCGTCAGGCTATGTTGGTTTTGCTGTAGACTGGCTCTGCAGATATGAGGGTGTTTAAAATTATGGCGACTGCTTAAAGAAATACCCTCATGAGCACAGTGGTGCCACCAGCGTGTGAGTGTGTTGCAAGATGAGGACATAGATTAGATTGAGCAAACTGGGGATCCAGCCTTCAAATCTTTCATTAGAATATTTTACTGGAATCTCTATATAACATAAAGGCATTTTAACCATATTATTTTCACTTTATTCATAATGTGCCTTTGAGTAATGTATGACTACTTGCTTTTCTTATGTACAATATAATCAAGGTTAAGTGAAGTGTGACAAGTGTAGGCTGAGACTTCAGGATGCACCAAAAGCAGCCATCTAAACTCCAACTCCAAAACAGACTGTTAATCTCATCGTTTGAATGTACTGATCAAGGTTTCTGTGTAAGAAAGAAATGTTGCTTTTGTGTTTATTAAAACAATGCTGTTGAAACCAGCACAGCCTTTTGCTTTACTCTCTGGCCTCTGCTTTGACCCCCGCCCCATCTCTACAGTAGTCTACTTTGTTTTCATAGTTGATCGCCACAAAAACAACACCGGCATCCATTATGCCACGTTCATCACACAGATGTGTTCACTAAAGGGAGCATGTGCAGTGACCCCAACACTTTCTCCTGAGCATCCTGACAACCCCTCCCCCAACAAGCCCCTTTTCATCCCCCCCTCCCAACACACATCTTCCTTACACATCTTCACACCAACACTTGATATCACCCACAAACATATATTTAGGAACTATTCAATTTCTACAGACAAGAAGGAGAAAACATTAGGTTACTTGAGTGATTTTAATAAACTGTTACTGAAAACAGAGGTTATGTGTCTTCCAGATTACATTCTCATCTAAAGGCAGATAAAACTCTGAGTTTTCTTCTCAGATCTGTTTTGTCTCATGCTCAAACCTCTAACAGCCCTTTAGCTAACCAAACAGCACTTTCTTCTCTTTGTTACCAAGACATTTTACTGAAGTAACTGGCCATTAACAGCTGAAACATTTAAATCAAAACACACAATAAAGACACTCAAGCATCTGCAAGAAGTTATTTCACATTCTTAGCAGAACTCAAAGTTCTTTTGTTAGTTTATGAAAAATTACTGAGATTTAACTTCAAAAAAGAAAACAGCAAAACAAAGGAAATCTGGATTTCAGCCAAACAATATGTTCATTCTTTAATAACCCAGAGGATCCTTCATTGTAGTGGTTTTATTGTAGGTATTTCTCAGGAAACCCAACCCTTTGTTGGAATGCTGCAGCTGTGAGTTTTAACTCAATAATGAATTCCCTAGAAGCCAAATCAAACCCATCCTCAACACTCCTAAAAGTTAGTTTCTTGATTCTTACTGCTGCTCCCTCTTAATGTGCGCTCAGATCGTTGACCATCTGTCAATCCCACAGTAGTGTGAATCTGCTCCTCTGTAAACACTGTTTCTACGCAATCTCCAAGGGGGCAAGAGGTACTTTAGACCTTCTGTCGTCATCCTGAAAAAAAGACTGTGACCTCTGACCTGGATACACACATTCATCCAGTAGAAAACATTTGCAAGCATTACGATTGTGAGCATACAGGTAACTGTACACATGGCTCCAATATTTATAACATGCACACATGGATTAGCTCATCTGACAAGGGCTGTCAGCATTACCAAAGAAACAAGAAAAATGTGCTGCATTTCAAATCACTGATTATCTTAAAGTAACTTTTGTTGTGCTGCATACAATATGATTTAGTTTCAGGCTAATCAATTCTACAGAAATAGCAACATGATCTGTTACTAAAAAGTAATGATTTAGGAATACAAGTATAATTCTAGGGTATATTTTTCATAAATCATTTGACACAATAAACGATAAAATTCTCTAGAACATTTTTTTTTTTACTTTTGCAGAAACTGACATGTATTTTAAATCATTCGAAAGTTGTTAAATCTAAGACCGTAAGTCCAGTTTTTAAAAGTTGTTCCACTCCTCCTTGGTCTATAGATTAGCTCTCGAAAGTGTTTACATTCATATTGGAAGACCAGGTTTTTCAACATTAACATTGTATAAATTGTCATTCAGAACTTTGTTTTTGAAATGATTTAATGTCGTCACTGTTGCATTTTAAGGAACTGTATATTCCTGAGTTCAGAAAATTAGGAATGTTTTTTCTGATCTGCAAGGTGAGTGCGGGTTCTCCTCTTCTGGAGGTTCTTGTACGCTTTAAGAAGGAGTGTGCTTTTAGGAGGAGCAGCCATGACAATTAATAAAATTAGCTATCTTTATAGCTTCCTCAACCATGTGTTTCCTGTGCATATTAAAATGTAATGGGTTTTTAATCTTGTGATCATATTGTTTATTGTTTTAATTTCTTTTCTGGGTACCAGTGGAAACCAGGCATGGGAGCTACAGCCAAAAACTAATGGGTCTTTTTAATTAACTACATTTAATTAAAAGATATGTCTATTCTATACAATGTACTGTTCAACAATGTAGACTAGAATAAACCCCTCTTTCAGAAAATCCAAATGTTCACACCTAACACCAAGCCTTCGCTTTACATCTTGTGATGGGAAAACGGCAGCTGATAATGGGGTGACCAAACTGTGTATCATCACGTTTGACACCTCAGATCTCTCCCACTCCAGAGAGAGCACATAATGGTTGGCAAAATATAAAAAGTGCAAGCGAGAGCTAGAAACAGCTGCCTGTCTGGATACAAAATCCTCTGGGACATTACGCTTCACTGCCCACGGATGTGACTCAACTTCCTGCCAAAATGATTAGTTTGTGGTTATTCCAAAAGCTGCAACATCTCAATCTAACAAAGGTTTTACACTACTACTGGAAAAGTTGAAAAGGTTGATGAAAATAATGTTTCACCTATAAACATGATTGGTAATAGTGTATGTGATACATATTAATCTTTAACAGCCCCCAAGATCCCCACCTGCTCCACTGATCAATAAACGAAGATCCATTGTCAGGCATAAGATAAAGAGGGCCTCCCTGATGTTGTTCTTTTGTCTCCGTTTCTATCCACTTATCCATGTATTGATTGATTTATGTGTATCTGGTGTC